ATATAATTATATACATAATAATTTCATATATATGCGCGCGCGTTTTCAATTACGACATGACATGAAACAGATACAAGTATAATACATATAGATTATGATCATGCGTAGCATTTGATGACTATTTAATCGGCATCCAAATATAGAGTAACGGCTGTCTACTTAAAATGAAATATATAAGTTAGAGGAAAAACGATTGTGGCGTACCTTGTATCAAGCGTGCGACCACATGCATTGACGAAGTGAAAACAACCATCGGGCAAGATGCGATTTATTCTGCTGGCAATTCTCTCGGCAACGACCATCGTGAAAAAGACCGGCCTTCTCTCCGCCCCGATCGCGCAAACAAAACGCCTCTCCACAGATTCGCGAAATGCCCTTCAATGGAATCTATATACGCACATACGCGCACCGCAAAGCACGTCGAGTAAAGAGCGCACGCACTCGGCCGAACAACCTGAAATTGCTCGCGCGCGATCGCGTTTTTTGTTTGTGGTCACTCTTCAGGCTGGCTAGGACAAAAGGGTGCCCCTCAGCACCGATATTTTTGCTTTCATCGAGCATTTTCTTCTAACCCCCCTCTCCCCCCTCTTTCCTCTCTCTCCCGTAACACCCCTCTTTACGACAACCGTTCTCTTTTTCGCGTTTTAAAAACTGCGAGAGCATTGTCTCGTTAGTATTCCGCCAGTTTGAATTAATTACTTATTTATTATCCTTATTCTATCGCGTGCCCAGAAAAAAAACCATCCCACAAACAATACGGTCCGTATCCAAGTATATCACCAAAAATCGGCTTTATTATTTTAGTACGCGTTCACCAGAAAAAAAAAACAATTTATAGATTGTATTCCGCATTGCACAATACATATGCAATATACATTAATTTAATTTACGAACAAACTGTATCGCATCTGTATGAAAGAAAGAGAGAATAAGGTGGGAGGAGGAGAAAGAGAATGTGATATCATCGTAACATGACTTCTTTTAAAAAATTAGACAAATGCTAAATATAATAATCAGATAGTATATATTATAAATAATATTTTCAATAAGTCAAAATTAAAACTTCATCTAAATACACATGATAATGTATGTAAAAATAAGTGTATGCTCTTTTTAAGCTTCGTCAATTAATTCTAATACATTTCGGATTAATTTACATATTTGTTCCAAAACTATTATATGATAAGATGCAATCATCGTTTTTATTTGTATATAAAAAAGATTAACTAAATAATATAAAAAAAAGAGAATAATTGTTGTGCATGCTGGCTGCTGGCATGCATACGATATTGTATGTATAACGTGTAAAAACAATTTATCATACGATATATATTTCGTATATATTTCAAATAATTAATTTATATATTAATTTATATTAATTTATAATATGTGGATCCTACTTGCATTAATTTATTTAAAAGTTTCACTTTTTTATTTAATCAAAATGAGCAACAGCGACTTATACGTTGATTATGTGACATACTCGCGAATTATGAATTAATTGTGATAATCATTTGATATGTTGTAATCCGAATGATTTACTACTGATCTACACTATGATATCTCACACAGAAGGGAGAGGGACCCTATAAAACTCATCTTCTTAAGCTTCGTCAATTAATTCTAATACATTTCGGATTAATTTACATATTTGTTCCAAAACTATTATATGATAAGATGCAATCATCGTTTTTATTTGTATATAAAAAAGATTAACTAAATAATATAAAAAAAAGAGAATAATTGTTGTGCATGCTGGCTGCTGGCATGCATACGATATTGTATGTATAACGTGTAAAAACAATTTATCATACGATATATATTTCGTATATATTTCAAATAATTAATTTATATATTAATTTATATTAATTTATAATATGTGGATCCTACTTGCATTAATTTATTTAAAAGTTTCACTTTTTTATTTAATCAAAATGAGCAACAGCGACTTATACGTTGATTATGTGACATACTCGCGAATTATGAATTAATTGTGATAATCATTTGATATGTTGTAATCCGAATGATTTACTACTGATCTACACTATGATATCTCACACAGAAGGGAGAGAGACCCTATAAAACTCATCTTCTGAATTTTATATTAAATTGGTTGTACACAAAAAAAAAAATTTAGCTTTTTATAACGATGGAATATTGCGATCTACGAGCTCCATTCGCATCCTCGAAAAATTGGCGTTAAAATCTATAAATTGGATTTGCGCACGGTATCCCCTTATATAACTTTATACGACGCATTTAAACACGATAAAAATCCTCGTTACTCGTTACAAAAAATAGTTAAAAATTTTTGTTCTTTGTATGTTCAAATGTCCTTTATATTTATTCACAATTTTTTGCAAGAAACAGCTCTTTTATATCTAGTAGTATATATATGGCTTTTTTGCGCTATATGTTTTAATAATATTATAATATATTACGTGGAAAACAATTAATAAATAACTGGCAAAATTTACAAATTATTAAGAATTCTTTCTACTCCGAATGTTACGATATTTTTCGAAAGATTTTTTAAATATTTCTCATAAAATATAATATATATTTATAAAATTTACAAAAATAGAACTATGAAAAAAATTCTGATTAAAGTAGTGAAATATTCATGATTTAAAAGATTTTCGAGTTTGAAGACATATTTTACAAATCTAATCAATAATTTAATAGAATACAGCATTTTTTTATATTATCAATATTAACGCGCACGCGCATAAAAGTGTTTCAAATATAAATAATGTTATGTGCAGTCCAACTTCCACTTATTTATATATATATTTGTGTATGTGTATATATATATGTATGCTGGTATATATTTATATATTACATGTTTAAATACATACGTTGGGTATATACATTTTCATGTATATGTATACAAAACTTTCTGATACAATTTTTCTTCGAAAAATAACGTATCATCTATATAATATTGTATGACTCCTTGAGTCAACAAAAAATTTGAATTTTGCAATAGACAAGAAAAATAATATTGCTTTACTCTACTGATTAAACTTTTAATGTTTGTTAATATGCAATCGTGGCCTATACAACTTATTAGTATTCTATTAATCTATTAATATTACCTAGCTAGATAATGTGTGTGCACGCGTGTGTGTAGATTATTTTATATATATTTATGTTTTACATATTTTATATGTATTTTACATATATATATTTATTTATTTATTAATATGTTAAGATTATCTTACATTCTCTCTGTCAATATATGTTTACTATTCTGATGTACGGTATCTAACTTCATCTCATTTCATATATATTTCTCTATCTACATCTATACACATATATTCTCTATATAATTTATACAAACATACCACGAGTATCATATATATATACATATTTTCTAAAAAATACTATGAAGAATCGTTCGAATCAGAGTCATAATAAGTTTTAGTTTGAAACATTAACAATTTCGTTGATTTAACGTCGTCTTGTTGAATAGCTGACGCATTCTTAGATTCGTCAGAGATTTGTTCATTTTTTGATAAACTACTAAAATTATTTTTTCCAAGAGAAATACTTGAATACATATTTTTTTGCGTGGTTGTATCTCGTATCGATGTATCATTTATAAAACAAGGAGACGTATCTTTTTTTGTATTAATAATTCTTGAATTAATATTATCATTAAATTTTTCATTATCCAATCGTTTGCTTATTTTAACTTCTTTGCTAGTTGAGCCCAATTCAATTTCAATATTGTGTATTTGATTGGTGACTTCATGCTTCTCAAAGGAAGAATTTAATGAGCTTGAATGTTTTCTACTATATCTCTTAGAATCATTAAAGATTTCTTCCAACTTGTCATGATTATGATATTGCAATTCATGATGCACAAAAGAATTTTTGTGGGTCTTACGAATAGGTGTAGTATAACTATTATTTTTTTCAGAATCTGAGGAGTCTGAATAAAACGTTTTTGTTTGGAAGAACATGCCACAGCTGTCATCCTTATAATCTATCCCATTCCTTTTCACTATTGCATTCAAACGTCTTTTGTTACTATTACTTATGTTTTTGTTATAGTTAAGAAAAGAAGCTCTTTTCTTTCTTTTATCTAAATTCTTAGCGATACTATCATTGTCATTCTTATTTGGAGTAAACACAAATTTTTCATTTTCACACATTTTTAAAGAAGTAATTGTGTTATCGGAAGATTTTATCTCGATTCCACTTGATCCTTTTCTTTCTTTGATTGATTCAAAAGTTTCTCTTGTTGTTTTAGGCTTTTTTGAAGAAAATATTACTGTCCTTAAGTTTCTACTACAATGATATTTGTCCTTATTAGTAGCAACAAGTTTAGCCTCATTACACAAATTCTTTTCAGTGATGTTTGTTTCGTCTAATAGCTCGTCATCTTTTGTAAATTTTGGTCTTTTTTTGGGACGTTGTATCAATCGAACAAAATCATCTTCATCCGATGACGTGAAAGTTAAAACTGAATACTTATTATGATTAGCTTGGCTCACTTTGCTATCATTTTTATATTGAATTGGAAACTCGGATTCTATCTTATCGAAAACTTGATCTTCTACAACAATATCCGATGTATCACTTATTTTTGAATCATTATGTTTCTTAGTTCTGGTACGCAATCTAAATGAATAATTATTATCAACTTTGTCAACTGTTTGAATAGACGTCTCTACATTTTCACACGCCGAAATTTTAGATATTTTTCTAATTCGACGTTTTCGTTTATTATTATGCAAGTTTGTATTTTTCGAAATTATGTTTTTATCAGCAAAAATATTTGTACCATTATGACATATATTTGGAGGTAATCGTTCCAATGCAATTTTTAATTCTCGGAGTTTTACGTTATCTGTCCTATTTATTCCATATGAATTAGAAGAATGTGTTTTAAATTTATTTAATATTTCTTTCTGCTGGATGTTACTTTTATTCATAATTTCTGTTTCCATAGTTGTATTTGTAAAATTTTTGTTTACCAATGCTGGTAATCGTTCCAATATAACTTTAATTTCTCGAGATCTCACATTACCCATTTTGTTTGTTTGATATGAATTGGAAGAAAATGTTTTAAATTTATTTAATACAACCTTTTGCCGAATAGTGTCATCTTTATTAAAGATTTGTGGTTCTATTGCTGATGGTAATCGTTCCACTGTAGCATCAATTTCTCGGGATCCAACATTTGTACAATCCTTATTTACTGACACGCATGGAAATAATTCTTCTAATATAATATATGGTTCTTCTTTGTCCTGACTAACATCAATACTCTTCAAACTTGACAGTTTATCATCTTTCTCTTCTGTATTTGAAGCAGAAAAGTCGTCTTCAGTACTTAGTCTCAAATTAAAAGAACAATCACTCTCTTTTGAATATGAAGCAGTTTTACATTGGCAAACAAGAATGGTACTTTCGTCGCTATCTATCGTTTCTAGTTCTATATTTTCGATATTACAAGTATACAACTTATTAGACTCGTTTAAATGTCTGTAATTACATACATTGCTTTTTTGCGCGATGTGATTATTCTCGGCAGATTTGGATTTATGTTGTTTAAAGGAAGGTACAATTCGCTCCAAAAGAACTACTGGATTTATATTAAGGGAAGATAAATCTTGTTTGCATGTTTCATTCGTTACAAAAATATTTGCATTATTGCGCTCTGAAAGCAAAACATCGTCTCGTTTATCTGAATTGGTATCGTCTAACGAAATCTTGAAGGAACTATCAATATAATTTTGAGTACTGTTATTATTTAGTGATTCATTACTAGTATTAGTAATAATTTTATCAGAAATAGAAGACCGTTTTTTTCTTTTTCTTTTCGTTTTTTTAGAACCAAGATTTGTTTTGCTAGGAGACAAGTTTTCACTTTCGTCTTTGTGAACTAATAATGTTTTTCCCTTAATTATACAATCAGAATCTAAAGCTGGATGTAAGCTTTGCATTGCTCCAGATAGTCTATTTATACTATGTTTTTCAGTTTGTATTAAATCTATAGGAGAATTCCTACCTGTATACAATTTTTTACGGTAAAAAGCTGTTAAACTTGTATCATTTGTAATCATTTCTTGTGCAATATTTTCTGATATTTCCTCCTTATAAGAATTATTTTTTTCTAATATCTTGTCCCTCTCTTGATTTGAAGTACCATTGTTTTCACCATCTCCAGTCAACAGTTCCAATGTTTCGTTAAACTGCTGAATATTGTTGTCTCTACTTTGGATGTCTAAACTTCTTTCGCTGATACTTAACACATTCATCTTATCAGTTTGTTCACAACTCTGCGAATATATGTTAGGCTGTATTGTGTTATCAGATGCTACTACGTTAGTAGTAGGTTGATCACATGTTTTTGATGTTATATATTCTTTCGACATCGAACACAATTCAATATCTGGAACATTAGTATTAACATTGCTATTGTCATTGTGTGTCACACGATTGATTCTTGCATTTTCTATGCACTGAATAGTATTATTGGATGTAAATTTTATATCTTTAATACAAATATTTTTTAAAGAATTAATATTTTTGTTACATTTTGCACTTTCTATAATAGCTATAGTATCTGCTTTATTTGTAATATTTGCATTTGATAAAATATAAGCTGCAGTGTTTACAGAACTACAGGATGACTCACTCTTGTATTCCAGCTTTTTGCCTTCATCTATTATATTTGAAACCGACGAATGTAATGAAAGTGTAATATCTTTCTCGCTGAGAGACACTCCAGTATCAGATAATTCATTTTCATCTAGAAGAGCTTTATAGGGTTGATTACCAGTGTTTATCCAATATTGTATTAAAATTGCTGGTTTGCGCATAGGTATTCGCTGTTCACAAGTGTATTCTTCTTCACAAACTTCTTTTTCTATTTCCTCTTCATCGGGTTCTAAAGTATCAACATTTAGTACTATATCATCAGACATCTACAAATAAAATATGAATTTTGTATCAATTATTATAAATGTGTTATTATCAAAAATGATATAATAAAGGAATAAAAAGAGATATATACCTTTTTAGAATATTTGCCAAACAAATTAACCCAAGATTTTTCCCTAACTTTCAGAAGCTTTTTTGGTATTTGAAAATTAAAGATGTGATCTTTGGTTCCCGTAATCCTACACATAAATCGACAATGTTTATTAAAAATAATTATAATTGCACACACACACACACACATTATATATATTTTTTTTTTATACATATATTACACATGTGAAAGATGTTAACTAACCTTTCGATGCTTTGAGAATAAGACTGTGAAAGGAAGTCATTATTGATGTTTTCCACCACGTAATTTTCCATAAGTTATTATACTGTTTAATAAAATCGAAGAAAATATATATGTAATTTGTGAACAAATTCACAGATACATGGGGGGGGCCACGCTTTCCTAACCTAACTGGTACAGTGGCGCTAATTGGATTAGCGGAACTACATGGCCAGATGCCAGATCCACTTTTTGATGCCATGGTAAAATGACCGGTTGGTGCATGTCCGTGCTAGATCCATAATTGTGGATCAGAAGTACAAAAACATTATTACTTGATTGACTATGTTTTATTAACTGCGCGTGATTTTTTTTCATTTGAGTACATATAACGGACAGCAATATATGTATTACTATTGAAATGTTTGTACTAAACTTATTAAATATATTTTTATTTCATTACAAATAATAAAATATTGTCTGAATTATTTAAAAGTATGTAATATATACAGGATGTTCGGAAAATAACTATACATCTATTTTCCAAATATTAAAAAAAACATTCATCAAACATTATTTATAGCAAATCAGTTTTTCTTCTTCAGGCATATCACCAGGAGAATTGAGATTTTCAATAACAAGATAAGATGAATCAAGGCTTGTTTGCATATTCATGGAGATCAAATAAAATATATATTTTGTGAAAAAAAGACTAATTTGCTAATAAAGTTTGATAAATGATGATTTTTTTTTAATATTTGAAATAGATGTATAGTATTAACTTTCCAAACACACTGTGTAGTATGTGTGTATATGTATATATATATATATATATATATATATATATATATATATATATATACAC